GCCAAGAGGTTCCTGTGTAATAAGTTCTTAAAAGGTATTCTCATCTATTTCAACCTCATCATTGATCAATTAGATAGATAGAATGAGAATCATCACCACTTGATATATAAGACATGATAGAATCGTCATCACTTCATCTATTAGACATTATAGAATAAGAATCACCATCACTTGATATACTAGACATATTAAAAACAGAATGATCACCAATCTACTTACTAGACAAACTAGAAACAGAATCATCATTACTTGATCAATGAGACATGCTACAATCAGGATCATCATTGCTTATCTACTAGACATGCTAGAATCAGAACCATCTTCACTTGATCTACCACACATGCTAGAATAAGGATCATCATCACATGATCTATTAGACATGCTGGAATCACAATCATCATCACTTGATCTACTAGACATCCTAAAATCAGAATCATCATCACATGATCAAATAAATATAATAGAATAAGAATCATCATCAACTGATCAAATAAACATACTAGAATCAGAATCATCATCACAAGACATACTAGATATGCTAGAATGAGAACCACCATCTCTTGATCTACTAGATATGATAAAATAAGAATCATCATCACTTGATCTTCTAGACATACTAGAAATAGAATCATCATCACTTGAACTACTAGACAGGTTAGAAATAAAATCATCATCACTTAATCTACTAGGTATGCTAGAATCAGAATCATCATCTCATGATCTACTAGATATGATAAAATAAGAATCATCATCACTTGATCTTCTAGACATACTAGAAACAGAATGATCATCACTTGAACTACTAGACATGCTAGAAATAAAACCATCATCACTTGATCTACTAGGTATGCTAGAATCAGAATCATCATCACTTGATCTACCAGATATGCTAGAATCAGAATCATCATCGCTTGACTTACTAGACATGATAAAATCATTATCACTTGATCTACTAGACATGGTAGAATCATCATCACCTGACCAACTGGATATCCTAGAATCACAATCATCATCACTTCACCTATTTGATATGCTAGAATCAAAAATCATCATCATCACTTGACCTACTAGACATGACAGAATCATCATTACTTAATGTACTAGACATACTAGAATCAGAGTCATCATCACTTGATCAACCAGATATGCTAGAATCACAATCCTCATCATCACTACATCTACTAGATATGTTAGAATCAGAATCATCATCACTTGACCTACTAGACATGACAGAATCATCATTACTTACTGTACTAGACATACTAGAATCAGAGTCATCATCACTTGATCAATCAGATATGCTAGAATCACAATCCTCATCATCACTACATCTACTAGATATGATATGACAGAATCATCATCACTTGATCTACTAGATATACTGGAATCAGAATCAACATCACGTGATCAACTAAACATCCTAGAATCAGAATCATTATCCCTTGATCTACTAAACATGCTAAAATAAGTATCATCATCACTTGATCTGCTAGACTTACTAGTATCAAAAATCATCATCATGTGATCAACTAAACACCCTAGAATCAGATTCATTATCACTTTACATAATATATATCATACAATCAGAATCATTTTCACTTGATTTTCTAGATGCTATATTGTCAGAATCATCATCACTTGATCTACCAGATTTACTAGTATCACAATCATCATCACTTGATCAAGTAAACATGACAGATTGTTCATCCCTTGATCTACTAGATGTGCTAGAATCACAATCATAAACACTTAATAAAATAAACATACTAGAAAAAATCATCTCATGATCTACTAGACACGATAGAATCAGAATTATCATCACTAGACCTGCTAGACATGATAGAATCAATATCACTTGATCTACTAGACATAGTAGAATCATCATTGCTTGACCTATTAGATATGATAGAATCAGAATCATCATCACTTGACCTACTAGACATGACAGATTCATCTTCACTTATTCTACTAGATGTGCTAGAATCACAATCATCATCACTTGATAACATAAACATACTAGAAAAAGAATCACCATCACATGACCTACTAGATATGATAGTATCAAAATCATTGTCGCTTGACCTACTAGATATGATAGCACCAGAATAATCATCACTTGAGCTACTAGTCAAGGTAGAATAAGAATGATACTCTCTTGATCTACTAGATACTATATAATCTGAATCATCATCTTTTCATCTACTATATATGATAGTATCAGAATCATCATTGCTTGACCTTCTAGATATGAAAGAGTCAGAATCACCATCACCTTAATTACTAGACATGATTCTAGACATCATCACTTGATCTACCAGACATACTAGAATCAGAATCATCATTACTTGATCTACTAGACATATTAAAATCAGAGTCATCATCACATGATCAATTAAACATCCTAGAATCATAATCATCATCACTTGATCTACTAGGTATGCCAGAATCAGAATAATTATCATGTGATCAACTAAACATCCTAGAATCAGAATCATCATCACTTGATCTACTAGATATGCTAGAATCAGAATCATCACTTGATCTACTAGATATCATAGAATCAGAATCATCATCACTTGATCTATTAGATATGCTAGAATAAGAATCATCATCACTGACCTACTAGATATGATAGAATCATTATCACCAAACAAACTGGATATCCTACAATCACAATCATCATCACTTCACCTATTAGATATGCTAGAATCATAATCATCATCATCACTTGATCTACTAGATATCATAGAATCAGAATCATCATCACTTGATCTATTAGATATGCTAGAATAAGAATCATCATCACTGACCTACTAGATATGATAGAATCATTATCACCAAACAAACTGGATATCCTACAATCACAATCATCATCACTTCACCTATTAGATATGCTAGAATCATAATCATCATCATCACTTGATCTACTAGGTATGCTAGAATCAGAATAATTATCACGTGATCAACTAAACATCCTAGAATCAGAATCATCATCATGTGATTAACTAAACATTCTAGAATCAGAATCATTATCACTTGATCTACTAAACATCCTAGAATCAGAATCATCATCATGT